CAGCCCCCGGACGGCCGTCCTTCAAGCCGGAATCCCACGTGATCAGGGAGACACTGGCGGCCGTTTAGGAGAACGTGTCCGGTGCAATTCGCCAGAGTCGCCCCCGCCTGCATTGCGGTGGTTACGCCGCAGATCAGGAAGGCGGCCATTGAGGTAGCTGTCTGATTGACCAGAGACCAGGCGGGTGGTTGTGATCGCCGTAACCATGGGGGTGAGGACGCGCAGTACCTCCCTGGAAGCTGGCTACGATGGAGACGAGGATCGGCTTGGGTTCCTCGGGTTCATACGGATCTGATCTTTCTTTGTTCCGTTGCCAAAAACGCCCCAAAAAAGAGGGCCGCGTCTCCAGTACGTCAGCCCCCATTGATTACACCTGGATAGGGATTCAAAGCAGGTTAACCATTACTTAATAGTATCGCCTCTCCCTTTCTTCGGTTTTCCCTCTAACAAGTCTGCGAGGCTAAGAGCCTGTTTACAATCTCTTCAGGATTAGCACCGCGAAGGCGAGAACCACCATTTGCAGGCTGGTATTGAGCTTTCCCTCGCAGTTCTTCCATAGTCGGCGGCACTTCTCCAGCCAGGCGAAAGACCGCTCCACCACCCATCGTTTCGGCAGCACCACGAAGGTGTGCAGTTCGTTGCGTTTCACCACCTCCACCGAGGCTCCCAACAGGTTCTGCACCTCCGCAGCAAAGGGCTTCCCGGTGTAACCCCCGTCGACCATCACATTCTGCACCCGGCTCAGGTCGGCTCGGCTTTGTTCAAACATCGCCAAAGCCCCGGCCCGGTCGGTAACATCGGCCGTGGTCACATGAATCGCATGGGGCAACCCCTGGCTGTCCACCGCGACGTGGCGCTTGATCCCGGACACCTTCTTGCCCGCGTCATAGCCCTTGTTCTCCGCGCTGTCGGTGTTCTTTACGCTCTGGGAGTCCACGATGCAGAAGCTGGTCTGCTCTGTCCGCCCATTGCTCTGCCGGACCGCGCCAACCGATTCTTTTTAAGACCCGCTCCAGAATGGACTCTTCCTCCGGGCCAGGGCGCTCACTCCATTGCCGGAAATACTTGTAGCAGGTGCGCCAGTCGGGGAAGTCCGCTGGGAGCATCCGCCACTGGCAGCCGCTCTTGAGGAGGTAGAGCACGCCGCAGAAGACGTCGTACAGATCCACGGTGCGGGGCTTGGTCCGCCGTCGGGCCGATTCCAGCATGGGAAGAATCCGGGCGAATTGCTCCCGGCTGATGTCGCTGGGATAGGAATGAGACATGATTACCCTGCCTTGGTAATAGTCTCAACTTAACATATCAAACAGATCGTAGACAGATTCTAAGGAGCTGGACCAACGAATCTCAACCACCCAAAAGCGCCTTCGCCTTAAACAGGAACCCGGCTCCTCCCCCTATCCGTCGGCCCAGCCCCAGGGAGAATTAAAGAAAATTAAATTTGAATAAAGTAGGCCAAGACGCTTGGATTACGGCACAAACTTTACACCTTAAGCATGGCAAAAGTGTGAAAACTCACCGAAAAAACGTGAAAAAATTATGGATTATGTGAAGTTGCAGTTCCCAATCCGGCTGACGGAGGCAGTGAAGCTGTGCTGAGCGGACTCCTGCATACCCCAGGAGAAGTTATTCAGCCAGACAGATGAGTAAAAAAATCTCGGGTCCACCAAGGTAACGCCTTGGTGGACCCGAGCGAATCCGGAGGTATTAACACAGAGGCCCAAATGGCAGGTAGATCAGTTCCAATGGAGACTGGTCAATTGACAAACCAAAACGTACTGATTTTCCCCCCACCGAATGTTGAGCGAGGCGCTGGAATCCGGCATTCGCGAAAATGACGGGTAAGGTGTCTCTCGCAACGTTTTGAGATAACTCTTAATAGGTGAGGGCAGAGGAGGTGCCCACCGGCAGGTCCACCTCGAGGGCCTGCAGGCAGTGGGCCAAGGTGTGGTAGTAGCCGCTAACGACGAGGACGTCTACCACACCGTCGTTGCCTACGAGGTTCCTCATGGCCTCAAAAGTGGCGTGGGAAATGCGGTGCTGGCGCAACAGTTCGAGCACGAACTGCACGACCGTTGCGTCGTTGGGGTCGAAACCTGCAGGGGCGCGGTACTCGAGGATGGAGGCGATGGTCTCGTCGGAAACCCCGGCCTGCTTCGCGGCGGCCTGGTTGACCGTCCAGACGTAGTTGCCGCAAGCCTCACGGGCGGCGGTCAGGACAGCAAGTGCCTTGATGCGTGGAGACAGCGGCGTTTCGAAACGGGCATAGCCTCCCAGCCCTGCCATAGCGCCGGCGGCCTGGGGGTTGTTCAGGATCGCGGCGTAGTTGCGGGCCACGCCGCCACGCGAGGTCTCGATTTCGTCCCAGATGGCCTGCCCGGCGGCGTCCATGTTCTCGCGGGTGGCGTAGGGTACTCGGGTCATGCTCATACTCCTCAACAATGTATATGCCAGATAAGGCAGGTTAAAGGGCCATTCACGGGAATTTCGGAAATCCGGGCCAATAGCAGCCCTGCGCAATAATAACGTGGGGGCGCACATCTGTGCGCCCCCGAATGACGTTTGCGGACTTGTCTGAGGAAAGGGTTAGTCGGCGGCCTGGGTCAGGCCCGCCGGTTCGCCGTTCTTGTCCCAGAGGCCCTCCAGGATTGCGTCGGGAGACATGGGGAGCTTGTTCATACGCACCCCGACGGCATGGTAGATGGCGTTGGCGACCGCTGCCATGGGAGGCACGATCGGCACCTCGCCCACGCCACGGACGCCGTAGGGGTGGCCGGGGTTGGCGATCTCGACGATTACGGTGCCGATCATCGGCAGGTCGAGGCTGGTGGGCATGCGGTAGTCGAGGAAAGAAGAGTTCTCCATCCGACCGTCGGAGCTGAAGCGGTACTCCTCGTTGAGTGCCCAGCCGATACCCTGGACGACGCCGCCCTGGATCTGGCCCTCGACGTAGCTGGGATGGATGGCCTTGCCTACGTTCTGGACCGCGGTGTAGTCGAGGATGGTGACCTTGCCGGTGTCGGGGTCAACCTCGACGTCCACGATATGGGTGGCGAAGGCGCCGCCCGCACCGCGGGGGTCAACGCTGACCTGGGCGGAGATGGGTCCGCCGGTGCGGTTCAGCTGCCCGCCAACTCCTTGAAGCTCAGCTTGAGTTCCTGGTCGGAGGCGTGCTGGAACACACCGTCGACGAGTTCGACATCCGCGGGCTCAACGTCCCAGATACCGGCGGCTCGTTCGATCATCTTCTGCTTGATTTCCTGGGCGCACTCGTATGCGGCCCAGCCGGTGGCGAAGGTGGTGCGGCTGCCGCCGGTGAGGAAGGTGTAGCCCACCGAGTCGGTGTCGCCCACGCTGGGGTCAACGTCTTCGGCGGGTATGCCCAGGACTCGGCGGCCTGCATGGCGATGGAGGCGCGAGAGCCGCCGATGTCGGTGGAGCCTTCCACCAGCGATATGGTGCCGTCGGCCTGGACGCTGATGGCGGCGCTGGACTGGAGACCGATGTTGAACCAGAAGCCGGAGGCCACGCCGCGGCCGCGGTTGGAGCCTTCCAGCGGGCGCTGGTAGTGCTCGGTCTCGCGGGCGGCTTCCAGCTGCTCGACGTTGCCGACCTTGGGGATAGACCGGGCCGTCAACGCGGCGGGTGCCTTCCTTGGAGGCGTTGCGGAGGCGGAATTCGATGGGGTCGATGCCAAGCTTCTCGGCCAGTTCGTCAACCACCGTCTCGCCAGCGAAGGCGGCGATGGGGGCGCCGGGAGCGCGATAGGCGGCGACTGGCGGCTTGTTGGCGACCACGTCGTAGCCGTCGAACCCGGCATGCTCGATGTCGTAGCAGGCGAACATGCACTGGGCGCCAGCGGTTACCGGCGATCCTGGGAAGGCACCGGCGTCGAAGGCGAGCATAGCCTCGGCGGCCACTATCTTGCCGTCGTTGGTGGCTCCCATTTTGACGTGCATGTAGGAGCCGGAAGTGGGGCCGGTGGCCTCAAAGACCTCGGCGCGGCTCATTGCACCCTTTACCGGTACGCCTGCCTTCTTCGACAGCAACGCGGTGAGGGGCTCCAGGTAAATCGGAATCTTCCCGCCAAAACCGCCACCGATTTCCATGGGTACGACCCTGACCTTGGAAACGGGCAGGTCGAGCACTCCGGCAAGAGCGTCGCGGGTGGTGAAGGCGCCCTGCGTGCTGACCCAGATGGTCAACTCACCGTTGGTGTTCCAGAAGGCCGCGCCGTTCTGGGGTTCAATGTAGCCCTGGTGAACGGTGGCGGTGGAGTACTCTTTCTCCACGATGACGTCAGCAGCGGCGAAACCCTGGTCCAAGTCGCCCTGCTCGTACCGGAAATGAGTAGCGATGTTGCTGTGCTTGTCGGTTGCTTCGCCCATTTCCGTGGTGGTCTGGTCTGCGTGGAGCAGCTCGGCGTCGTCGGCCATGGCCTGACGCACCTCGGTCGCTGCCTTCAGCACTTCGTACTCCACCTCGATGAGAGCCAGAGCCAGCTCGGCCTGGTGGGCGCTGACCGCGGCCACGGCAGCAACGGGATGGCCCTTGTAGAGGACCTTGTCCTTGGCCATGACCTTGCGGGCGGCGGCGCTGTCAGTGGGGATGTCCTGACCAGTGATAACGGCGCGGACCCCTGGAGCGGCCTCGGCCTTGCTGGTGTTGATCGACTTGATGCGGGCGTGGGCGTGGGGGCTTCGCAGCACCTTGGCGAAGAGGGCCCCCGCAGCGTCGTAGTCGGCCCCGTACTTGGCCCGCCCAGTGACCTTGTCGGTGCCGTCATGCCGTACCGGTCGAGTCCCGACCACCTTGTAATCGGTGTTTGACAAGACGATATTGGATGCCATTTAAATCCACCTCACGCGGAGTTTGGAAAGCTCGTTAATAAAGCTCTGAAGGAGCCGAAAAGAGGGGCCCCACGGGCCAACGGATTGTACCACAAGGCGGGTAACTGAGTGTTAGAATATCCGTAGCCCAATTGCTTGCTGGAGAGCGATATGGATTTCAGTGAACTAAGAGACATCGAATTACGGGAAGCCTGGCCCAACGAGGGCAGCGACTTTACTCCGTGGCTCGAGGACAACCTGCAGCGGCTGTCGAGAGTGATCGGCATAGCCATCGAACCCGACGACAGCCAGGTTGCAGTGGAAGGCTTCAGTGCCGACATTCTGGCCACGTTCCCGGTGAACGGTAGCCGGGTGGTAATCGAGAACCAATTGGACAACACGGACCATGCCCACCTGGGGCAGATAATGAGCAACCTGGCACGCTTGGAGGCGCAGTCCGCCATCTGGGTTGCCCGGGAGTTCCAGCCGGCGCACCTTGCGGCAATCCGCTGGCTGAACATCAACACTCCGGGCGATTTCGCCTTTTTTGCTGTCAGAGTCCGGGCAGTGCGCATCGGCGATTTCCCTGCCCCGATTGCGCCGGTTTTCGAGGTGATTGAAAAACCTCATGACTGGGACCGAACCGTGCTGGCACTGAACCGGGTGCCCGTGGGCAGCGGCAGCATCAATAACGCTGCTTAACCGCATCCGACGCAAGCGCAGCGATTTCTGGCGCTCCTACGCGGAACAGCATCCCAGGGACGTCCAATTTCCGGAAGAGCACGCTCACAGCAATATCTACCACACGCTTGGTGGGGTGATGGTGTCCCAGTACCTGGGCGACAGAAGCGTGGGAATTTACCTGGTGGAACACAGCCGCAGCTATGATCCGGATGCGGCACGGGCCGTGGCGATGTACAAAGAGGGCCTGCAGCTCAACCTCGGGGACTGCTCCGAGTCCCTCGCGATCGACACCAACGACCGCGACAACTGGCCGGACATGATTGACTGGCTGCACGGCAAGCTTGCCGAATTCCGGCGCGTGATCGAGCGATACTCCACCGGGGCGGTGGACGAGATCGCGGAGTACGAGCCGGCAGAGATCGAGTAGGCAGGACACGGGATTGGAGGATCCAATGCAGCCACTGTCCGGGATTCGAGTACTCAGCGTGACGGTCTACCTGGCGGGGCCGTTCGCCTCGATGAGCCTGGCCCGGCTTGGGGCGGAGGTCATCAAGGTGGAGATCCCGGGCCGTGGCGATCCGGTACGGGGGAACGGCCCCTTCGCCGGACCAGAGGGAACTCACCCCCGCCGCAACTCCGACGAGGACATCTCCACGCGATTCCTCAAGCGAACGCAGGGTGTCAAGAGCGTTACGCTGGACCTGAAGACCGAACGTGGCAGGGAGCTCTTCCTCGAGCTGGCCAAGCAGAGCGACGTGGTTTTGGAGAACCTGGCCCCCGGTTCACTCCGGCGCGCCGGTCTTGGTTACGAGGAAGTGGCCGCAGTCAACCCGGGTATCGTTTATGCCTCCATCTCTGGTTATGGCCAGACCGGTCCGTATAAGGACAAGCCAGCCCACGATCCCCAGATCCAGGGCATGAGTGGGCTGATGGATATAAACGGCGAGGCCGACGGCCCGCGGTCAAGGTGGGGTTCTACATCGGCGACCTGGTCACACCGATGTTTGCGTGCTACTCGATACTCGCCGCCCTGCGAGAGAAGGACCGCACCGGAAAAGGCCAGTATCTCGACGTTTCGATGATGGACACCCTGGTCTCGCTGATGTTCATGGAGAACCTCGAGGAGAGCATAGAAGTCGGCCTTCCGCTGCGCACTGGCAACATCAGCCGCAGCGGTCCCACGGGTTGTACAGCGCGATTGGTGGTGACATCTCCCATCACCGTCACCAGCGACGACCAATGGCGGCGGATGTGCGAAGCGCTGGAATGCCCGGAGTTGCTGGACGACCCACGGTTCGACACGTATGTGAACCGAACAGACAACGTGGAGGAAGCACGGCTGGAAATCCAGGATCGCATTGGGAAGATGACCTTGCCGGAAGCGGAGCAATGCCTGGAGAGCCACGACGTGCCCTGTGCGCCAGTGCGAACGGCGGAGCAGGTGATGAACGACCGCCACTTCTGGGATCGCGGCAGCCTTGTCCCGATGAACCACGGGGCCATGAACGAGCCGGGTGGCAGGGGCGGTGGGCGCGGGCTTCCCGGTACGCTTCTCCGGCGGCGAATTGCCCCCACTGCCGGGGGCGCCTACGCTGGGGATGCACAACGAGGAAGTCCTGACCGGTATCCTGGGGTTGAGCGAGGCTGAACTGACAGACCTGCGGGAGCAGGGTGTCGTGTAGGCGTTAGCTTCCTGCTTTTGCTGAAGTGACAGCGAGTGCCGCAGAACGACGGTGAGTGGCTAGAATAGGGTCGAGATCAGTCCCGTAGAGAAGCCACTCTGGTCGCACGGCGGCGAACATTTGCGGAATCATAGCCAAGCTAGTATGCGAATTGAGAACTTCAGTGATTCAGGGGGATTTCTTTGACGAGTACCAACGGCAGATTCCGAGCCAAGCCCATCCGGACCGAACTATTCGTTCCGGGGAACAAGGAAGACTGGATGCGCAGGGCGCCGCGCTTCAATGCCGACGCCTATATTCTCGACCTTGAGGACTCGGTGCCGCCGCCGGAGAAGCGTGCGGCGCGCGAGTCCGTGGGCCGGATGGTGCATGAACTGGGCGAGGCCGGGCAGACCATCGTGGTGCGAGTGAACCGCCTCGAAACCGGACTGACCGGCGGCGACCTCGAGGCCGTGGTCGGCCCTCACCTCTACAGCGTGCTCTTACCCAAGGTCGAGGGTCCGGAGGACGTTGTTGAGGTTGATGTCCTACTGCGCCATTTCGAGCGGGAAAAGGGCCTGGAGGTTGGGAAGATCTTCATCGACCCCTCCCTGGAGACCGCATCGGGGATCCGTCAGTCGTGGGAGATAGCCAACGCCTCGCCCCGCGTGGCTCACATGGGTGCCAGCGGCGGCAAGGGCGGTGACACCGCTCGATCGATCGGATTCCAGTGGACGCCGGAAGGAATGGAGACCCTGTTCCTGCGCTCCAAGGTTCTGGTGGATGTTCGCGCCGCGGGCATTCCCTACCCCATGAGCGGTGGCTGGATGGACATTCACGACCTTGAGGGCCTGCGCAAATCAGCACAGCAGGCGAAGCAGCTTGGCTACACCGGGATGCACCTGATCCACCCGTCTCACGTGCCGGTGGTGAACGAGGTATTCACACCATCGCCGGAGGAGGTCGCTCACTACAAGGGGCTGATCGACGCGATGGAGACGACGCGCGCTCAGGGCGGCGCGGCGGTGACTTTTGGCGGTGACATGGTGGATATCGCGCACGAGGAAACGGCCCGCGCGATGCTGGAGATCGCCCGCGAGATGGGGGTGCCGGGAGCGTGAGCGACCAGCAGCATTCCCGCTGGCTGCCACTCCAAGGTTGCGTCAACTTCCGCGACGTGGGCGGCTACCGCAACTCACAGGGGCAAACCGTACGATGGCGTCGACTCTTCCGCAGTGACGCTTTGCAGGATATGACATCCGCAGACACCGGCCTGGCCGTGGATGACCTGAACATTCGACTTGTGGTCGATCTCCGCAACACCAACGAGGCCGAGCGCGACGGCCGGGGCCCGCTGAGCGAGTCGGTTGCCGGTTACCGGCACTTTCCTCTCCTCGACGGAAGGGGAGGAATACCTCCGTTCACTGGCGGTGACATTGCGGGGCGGCTCACGGACACCTACCAGTGGCTGGTCCGCAATTCCGGAGAGGGCGTGGCTGATGCCATCACCTCCATCAGCGATTCGATTGAGGCTGGCGGCGGGGCTGTCTTTCACTGCAGCGCCGGCAAGGACCGCACGGGACTGCTGGCCGCCCTGATCCTCGAGGTCCTGGGCGTGGACCAGGAAACCATCAGTGCCGACTACATGCTGACCATCGAGGTGGTCGAGGCTATAGTCGACCGGATTAAGGCCATTGAACAAGGTTCGTCGCCCACCGCCCAGACGCTGGCGCCCCAGCCAGTGGCGTTCCAGGCCTACCAGGAAACCCTGCGAGAGGAATACGGCGGCGCCGAGGCATTTCTTCTGAAGCACGGAGTTACCTCGGAGACGTTGGCATCCCTGCGCAGAAACCTGCTGGAGTAACCTCTGCTCCCTCGGCGTATTCTCCGCGTTCTCTGCGTTGAAAAAAATCGCCTATTGTGAGGAGACGCAAAATGGCCAACTACGTCCTGGTTCATGGATCCGGACACGGGGCCTGGTGCTGGCAGCGCGTAGTCCCGCTGCTGGAGGCGAAGGGACACAACGTTGTGGCGGTTGACCTCCCCGGAAACGGCCACGACGACACGCCGCTGGCGGGCGTGACGCTGGAGACATACGCCGAGCACGTCTGCAGAGTGCTGGACTCACTGGACAGCCCGGCGGTGCTGGTGGGCCACAGCCTTGGCGGCATATCCATCAGCCGGGCGGCGGAGTTGCGTCCTGACAAGGTGGCTGTTCTAGTGTATCTGACCGCGCTCCTGTTACCGGACGGTGGGACTTTCCTGTCGGCAGTTTCAGACGAGCCGGATGCGCAAAGGGCGCTGGAAACACGGTCGAGCTGGGACCTTTCCGAGGACCGCAGCCACGTGGTTTACAAAATGGAGCAGGCGCAGCATCGCTTCTACAACGACTGCTCGCAGGAAGACGTCGAGTGGGCGAAGCCCATGCTGGTGCCACAGCCCACAGGCCCGCTGCTCAGCCCGATGCGGATAAGCGACGAGAACTTCGGTCGTGTGCCTCGCGTGTATATCGAGTGTACGCAAGACAATGCCGTGGCACCGGAATTCGCCCGGGAGATGTACACGGCGTTGCCGTGCGCTGAGGTCATCACCATGCAGACCGGTCACTCGCCGTTCATGTCTGCGCCGGATGAACTGACGCAGCACTTGGACGCACTGGCGCGCTACGCCACGGCGAGTGCGAGGGCATGACCTACGGCCTGCTCAACGGCCTTCGGGTACTGGAGTTGGGCGAGTTCATCTCTGCGCCCTACTGCGGCAAGCTGCTGGCCGATATGGGGGCTGAGGTTGTAAAGATTGAGCGTGTGGGTGTCGGCGACTGGGCCCGTGACTACGGACCCTATCCCAATGACCTGCCCCACCGCGAGCGCAGCGGGTTGTTCCTCTATTTGAATGCCGACAAGCGCGGCCTTACCCTCAACCTGGAAACGCCGACGGGCCGGGAGATGCTGGCCGGGCTGGTGTCCCGCTTCGATGTGCTGGTACACAACCTGCATCCCACGGAGATGGACCGGGTCCACCTGGAATACGATGTCCTGAGCGCTCACAACGCAGGGCTGGTTATGGCGTCGATCACCCCCCTTCGGGTTGAGCGGACCATACCGGAACTGGAAGGCCTACGACATCAATCTAGCCGCCGGCGGGGGTATCTGCGAGGGTCTGGGCAGCCCGGATCGTGAGCCGCTGACCTTTGGCACGCCCGAGGTTGGCTACTTTGCCGGAACTGCGGCGGCGTCAGCGATCGTCATGGCCCTGCTGGCGCGAGAGGACGGCGGCGTGGGCCAGCACATCGACATCGCCGAGATTGAGTCGATGGCCGGGCTATACAACGGGCCAGAGGCGCTGATGGCGGTATATCAATGGCGCGTCACCCGGCGTACCGGCCATCACGCGCTGGACTTCCCCTACCCGAACTGCATACTCCGCTGCAAGGACGGGTTCATATTCGTTGGCTCCCCGGAGGGCCGCCAGTGGCGCCGTCTGCTGGAACTGATGGGTACGCCTGAATGGTCGCAAGAGCCCCGGCTGCGCAACCGAACGGTGATGAACAACGAGTACGCCGACGAAGTGGACGGCTACGTTGAAGAGTGGCTGATGCAGCACACCAAGGCCGAGCTGCTGGAGATGGCGCTGGAGCACCGCATACCTCTGGCGCCGGTGCGCGGCTTCGACGAGGTGCGAAACGATCCGAGCCTCGCAACTTTGTTCGCCGAGATTGACCGCCCGGATACTGGAGCCGTGGCTTTTCCGGGCGCGCCCTACGCGCTGGCCGGCGCGCAGACTACGCTGCCCCGTCCCGCCCCCACGCTGGGGCAGCACAACAGCGAGGTCTACGCCGGCGAGCTCGGCTATACGCCGGAGGAAGTCGCGCAGCTGTACCGGATGGGAATCATCTAATTCCTGTCGGGAAGCGGATGTCAGGTATACTCGTGGGGTAGGAAAGACTGGGCTGCATCCCCCTCTTTGGGATAGCCCATGGTTTTCCCACGCAGGCCGGGTGTGGAGTAATTTAGATGGCTGGGTACTACGACTATCCGGTTGACCTTATTGGTGATTACGACGAAAGGGTCAACCGGTTCCTTTGGTTGATCAAGTGGATACTCACCATTCCCCACGCCATTCTTTTGTCGCTGTTTGCCATTCCCTTGATCTTTACGCTGCCTGTGTCGTGGCTGGCGGTTGTAATCCTGGGTCGCTACCCACAGATTCTGTGGGGATATCACACCGGACTGATGCGATGGTCCTGGCGGGTCAACTTCTATTCCTGCCAAGCCGGCAACACCGACCAATATCCGCCTTTTTCCTTCGGGTCCCGGGACGACTATCCTGCTGACCTGCAGATAGAGTACCCGGAATCGTCCTCACGCCTAACCGGGTTCTTCCGGTGGCTGCTCATCATCCCCCACTGGATTATCATTGGGATACTGTCGAACATAGTCGGTATTCTCGTATTCTTCGCATTGGTTATCGTGCTCTTTACCGGCCGCTACCCGGAGGGGATGTTCGATATCATCATGGGTATGAACCGCTGGGTCTACCGCGTCAACGCCTACGGCTGGCTGTTGGTAGATGACTACCCGCCCTTCAGTTTCGACTAGCGCGCAGGTTCTCTGAATGGCACAGCAAATTTTCGAACAATCCGGTCCTCTCCAAGGCTATCGTGTACTGGACTTCGGCTGGGTCTTGGCCGGGGCAGTGCCGGGGATGATTCTTGCGGACATGGGCGCAGAGGTCATCAAGGTCGAAACACGCCAGCGCATGGACTACATGCGGCTGGGCCGCCCGATCATAGGCGATGAGCCCGACCCGGAACAGAATCCGATGTTCCACAACGTGAACCGGGGCAAGCGCAGCATCACCCTCAACACTACCCGGCCTGAGGCAGTGGAACTGGCGCGCCTATTGGCGGCGCGATGCGACGTGGTGATAGAGAACTTCTCGCCCGGCGTGATGCAGAGGCTGGGTCTCGACTACGATACGCTCAGACGCGACAACTCGCGCTTGGTCATGGCATCCATCACATCGAACGGCCAGACGGGGTCTCTGCGCGACCTTCGGGCCTATGCCCCGTCCATCGGTGCGCTGTCGGGGCTGGACAGTACCATGGGCTACGAGCCCGCCGAGGGGGAACAAGGAAGACCATTGGGACTAAAGCACGCCTTTGCCGACCTTTGCGGCGCTCTGCACGCCGTCTATGCGATTACATCGGCTCTGCACCAGCGACGGCGCACCGGCCTGGGTCAGTACATCGACATTTCCATGCTCCGGGCAACGGTTGCCACGATGGGGGCTGGCCTGATGGAATATGAACTCACTGGCCGGGTTCCTCATCCGAGAGGCAACTACGATCCGGTTATGGCTCCCTATGGCAACTACCCATGCCTTGGTGAAGACGAGTGGGTCTCCATCGCGGTGCGTACCGAGGAAGAATGGCGAGGGCTGGTGAAAGCGATAGATAACCCAGACTGGGCCGTTGAGGAGAATTTCGCCAGCCGTTACGCCCGCCTCGGGAACCGGGGAGAACTGGATGAACGGCTGTCGGAGTGGACCCGGGGCCGCTCCGCTTGGGAGGCCACAGAGCTGCTGCAGTCCTGCGGCGTGGCCGCCTTCCCGGTGCTGGGCGCTGAGGGAAGACTCTTCAACCCGCATTTTCGTGAACGTGGCCTGTATTCTGACATTGAGCACCCGGCGCTGGGCTCGGAGCCCGTCTTCAACCTGATGTGGCAGCTGAGCCGCACGCCGCCAAGCATACAGCGCCACGCGCCGCTGCTCGGCGAACACAACCGCGATGTCTTCTGTGGCCTGCTTGGCTTGGATGAGGCGGAACTGTCGCGGCTGGAAGAAGAGCAAGTAATCTGGTAGCAACAGCAACAAGGGAACTGGAGAAAAGCCAATGACCAGCCAGAACGAACGTGAACGCGTAGTCGAGACGCTGCCGGAGATCGAGGGCGGCATAACGCCCGAAGCCGTCGCCCGTGCCAAGGCGATGATCGGCACTCGCATGCGTACCGAGAACTTTGTTCGCGATGCGTCCCTGGGCGCACTGCTGAACTTCGTAAACGGCATCGGCGATTCGAACCCCATGTTCCGCGATCAGGAATATGCCGCCTACTCCAAGTATGGCTCGATCATCGGTCACCCATGCGCCCCTTACATGCGTCACTGGTCGGGGCGGACCCGCTGGGGACTGCCGGGCGTTCACGGTTTCTTCGCCGGCAACGACTGGGAATACTTCCGCAACCTGCGTCCCGGTGATGCGGTCAACTGCATTGAACGTGTGCTTGACGTCCAGGAGCGCCAGAGCCGCTACTCAGAGACGCTGGTGATCCAGTTCATGGAGACTATCTACACCAACCAGCGTGATGAGCTGTTGGCCCGTGTCGTTGGGTGGTGCACCCGCCACCAGCGCCGCGCCTCCCGTGAGCGTGGGAAATACGCCAGCGTCCCGCGCCGCCACGAGTACACCCCCGAGGAATTGGAGGCCATCGACCAGCAGGTGCTCGCTGAGAAGGCGCGGGGCGGCCAGCCGCGGTATTTCGAGGACACCAACATCGGCGACGAGCTGGAGCCGGTGATACGTGGCCCTCTTTCGCTGCAGGACGTCTCGGCCTTCCTGGTCGGAACCGGACGCTCCAGCGCCCACGGGGTACTGCTGAGAGAGGCCCTTCGGCACCCTGACCACTTCTTCCGCAACCCGGAGGCAGGTGGCGGGCTGGAATACACCGGCATCGGACACCTGCGCGACTCGGTGGCCGAGGCGGTGGGCGTTCCCGGTGCCTATGACTACGGCCCTCAGCGGGTGTCCTGGATGGGAACGCTGGTCACGAACTGGATGGGCGATGACGCCTTTCTCAAGCGACTCAGAGTGGAATGCCGCCGCTTCAACGTCTATGGCGACACGCAGTGGTGCAAGGGCCGGGTCATCGGCAAGCACGTTCACGACGGTGCGCCCCTCGTGGACCTGGAAATCTGGGCGGAGAACCAGCGCGGCGAGATCACGGCCCCCGGTCAGGCTACCGTGATGCTGCCTTCCCGCGATCCACGGCTCCCGTGGTTCACCGACGGCCGCGACCTGACCCTCAGAGACGCGCCTCGCAGCGAACAGATGCCGCCCATCCTGCCCGAATAGAGGCGGACGCCGGAGTCTTGGACTGAAGGTGGTCTCCATGGTCAATCTGGAATCAACTGTACAGGGAGGCAGAGCTGCCCTTGCCGGGCTTCGAGTGCTGGAGTTGGGTGGCATGGTGGCGGTCCCCTACTGCGGCAAACTGCTGGCTTCGCTGGGTGCAGACGTGGTCAAGGTTGAGTCGCCGAAGACCGGCGACCCATCGCGACGGCGCGGTCCCTTCCCCGGTGATGTGCCCCACCAGGAGCGCAGCGGGACGTTCCTCTACCTCAACACCGGCAAACGAGGCGTCACCCTGGACATTGATGACCCTCAAGGCCGAGAGGTACTGCGGCAGATGGCTGCCGAGGCAGACGTCGTTGTCCACGACTCCCCACCTTCGCTGGCACAGACTCGAGGCCTGGAGCGGGACGCAATGGCGGCAGTCAACCCGCGCCTGATCGTTGCGGCCATTACTCCCTTCGGCTCAGCGGGGCCAAACGCGGACCATGCGGCGCACGACGTCAACATCTTCCATGCCGGTGGCGAGGGTAACCTGCTGCCCAACGGTTTGGCGCTGGATGCTTTCCCCGAACGTGCGCCGATTGCGGCTGGCGCGATGATGGCTTCGTACCAAGGGGGGTTGACTGCCGCCGTGGGCATACTCGGCGCCGCGATAGCCCAATGGGCTGACGGGACCGGGCAAGCAGTCGACTGCTCGATGCAGGAAGCGCAACTGGCCATCGGATATCTGCCCGTACAGCGGCTGGAGGCAGAGGGATTCGCGGAGACCCGTTTCTCGCGCTTTTTCAGAATGGGTGGCGTAATGCCGGCTGCTGATGGATACGTGGAGTTACTGACACTGGAGCCGCGCCAGTGGGAAGGCCTGGCGCGACTGCTGGGAGAGCCGGAATGGGCCTCCCCCGAAAAGTTCCGCGACCCGGCAACCCACGGCCCGGCGATCAACGAGAACCTGCGGCAGTGGACCGCCGAGCACACCCGGGAATGGCTGTACCGGGAGGGACAGGCATATGGAGCGCCCATAGCGCCCTACCTGACGCCATCAGAGGTATTCCAGAGTCCCCAGCAGCGGGAGCGCGAGTTCTTTGTGGAGATCCTGCATCCCGAGGCCGGCAGCTATGAATATACCGATCTTCCGCTTCACATGGGCGAAACGCCGCCCACCCTCCGGCGCGTGCCAATGCTGGGCGAACACAACGCCGAGGTGTTTGGCGGGCTGGGG